ACAAAGAGCCTGGGATGATTCAATGCCTTGGAGCAGCCTTTGCTGATTTGGTGGACTTTAGATATTTTGGACTACAACTCCCATCTGTCCTAGTCAGCCCAACGCATCTGGAGGGCAGCAGGGTTGGCAAAAGCTGCCTTAAAACAACTTGTTCCTTTTTCAAGGAGACAACCTGGAACTGTTATGAAAGGAAAAGGAGCAACTTCAGAATGGTCCAAGGCGCCAGAACCTTAACTTCCTCCACCACTTGGCATTCTGAATCCATCCTTCCTTTGCATCACTGGATACAGCATCCATCTTTCAGAGTTGTTTTATTACTGCCTTGCTCAGTTGGGAGGTGAAACAAAAAAGTCAATTAGATCAGCCATTGAACTGGGACATACTGTGTGAGTAATGGCCTGCATCGGCAGCATGCGCAGCCGAGATGCTCACAAAACAGCACAGCTTGCCACTTCAGCTGGCCTGTGGCCCATCTATTAGCACCCATTCATCATTTCAGAGGGGTTGGGAGAAGGGAAATATGACGCTGGAAGAAAATAAAAACCTGAATGGCAAAAATGGTCAGGAGAATGGAATAGGAGTCCTGAGAAAAAAGGAAGGTGGGCGTGTTAAGACTCTTAAAACACCTGAAGGGATGTTGCAAAGAGGAGGGCAAAGACCAGAGGGCAGAACAAAATCTAATGGGCATAAACTATAGGTTCTGTCCATTTTGGTTCTCTCCATTTCTAATTCTTCAAATCTCAAATTCACTTCTACAAATTTTGCAAGTAAGAAAAATATCTAATGAAAATCCAGAAGCATTTATACAGCACATTCCTTCAGATAGATACATTCTATATGCATTGTTATATGTTTAAGGTTTTATTATGATTTTATATGTGTTTAAAGTCACCCAGAGTGGCTGGGACAATCCAGTCAGATGGGCGGGGTACAAATATTATTATTATTATTATTATTATTATTATTATTATTATTATTAAGTTTCCAGACTCACACGCCTCTCCACTTCAATACAGGGATCCTACAAAGTAAGTATTTGTACAGATGGAGATTTTTTGCCAGCACAGATTCTCCTTCTGTTAAAGTGTTATTGACCCCTTTAAAAGGGGGGGGGGTTGCTTTCCTATAAATTTAATTGCCAATCATTTCAATTTGTAAAATGACCTTTCTATATTACTATACACAAAGCAGTTTACGGCAACAAATATACAACAAACAACACACACCTTATAATAATCTGATCTGATACAGAAAGTCCTAATAAAACAACTTTAAAATAGAATGGCTTATATGAAATAAAAGTAATATTCAATAATCTATTTGAATATAATAGAACAAGCAATCTTCCTTTCTACACTCTTAGTCTCAAGTTTTTCCTCCTTTGTTGAACATTTCTTTTGACAGATTATCAGGCAGTAAGAATTTTATTGACAGATTATAAATAAATTGGATGAGACCTAGGCAGGTTAAACTTGAGGCAATCTCCCTTTGAGGACGATTTCCCTAACTTAATTTATCTTGTCACATTGCCAAAATAACTTGACCCAGGAGAAGGTTAAAAAAAATGTTTTGATTTTTATCTGGTTCGCTTGATGAGGAGCAAGCTACATGGAAAATGTTGCCTAGCAACCCAGTATCTATTCCAAAATGGAGCAGAAAAGAAATTGCTTGCTGGGACCCTCCATTACCTCATCATGAGGGATATAGAACGGCTCCCGACTTAAATGCCTGAGATTTGGAGCTTCCAGTTTATACTGTCAGATGTGAGAATCGGATGGCTGATTTGAGCTGACCTTCCTTGCTTTCATTTGCGTCACTTTTCATCACAGCAGGCCCTCAACAGCAGGGCCAGTTCAAAACATTTTGCTACCTGAGGCAAATCACCGGCTGATGCCCTCTTCCCGTTCTACGTGAAAAATTCAGAACTGGCAACAGGACAGCATCTTCCACCACACCTGAGGGCACAGCTCTGCCCCCCAACGCTGCCTTCAGCCATCTCTTCCCCTGGAATCTGGCACTTAAGGATGTGGGATATTTACAATGCAGTCAAACCAACAGTGCTGGATAGGGACGGGATAGGAGCTGAAGCTCACAGAGTTTTCCTGTATGTTTGCTAGAGAGAACCCTCTGAAAGATTCTCCCACTGGTCCCTGTCAAGGCGAGGGTGTAGCGATATATATTGTCCTTACCTACCTGGGCACAACCTCTTCTCTTTCTCCTCCAACTTCATCATCAAGTAAAAAAAGGTGAGAACCACTGCTAAATCTGACCTACGGCTCAGGCCCCATCTTAAGCTAGACTAAAGTACGTCCTTGTAACTGAACTGCCATTTTAAGCCTGCCTGAACAAAGCCTCTGTATCTGTTATTCTGCAACAGAAACTCTGAGTAAATGTTATTGCTACTTTCTACAAGACTATGTGTTTGATTATTGTTTAAAGGGGGGAATACCAGGAGAATCCAGTCTGCCTTAAAGCATCCTGGATGACTTAAACCAAAAGGCTAAAACTAGCCTATCTTTTAAGCTGCTAAGGGATGCACTCTGCTGAACTCACAAATGTAAGGAAGGAAGGATAATATCTAATAAATGTATTCTCTCTACTAGCATCTATTCACATACCTACAAAGGAATTTGTCTCACTCTGTCCAGTGACTGGGCAGACCTGCCCAACAGCAGAGGTGGTCAGGAGGGAATAGGGGCTAGTGTTTTCAGCAACGGATTTAGTGTTCTGAGCAGCTAAACACCATTATTTTAGGTTACGGTCAGTGAAGCCACCTTTTAATAGCACCACACTGACTTTATGCCCACCTCCTGAGCACAGTTCAACGTTTTGGTTTGGGCTTTTAATACTCCTCATGGCTTAGGACCAGTGTATCTCAAGGGATACTTATTCTCACAGGAACCTACCAGATGCTGAGATCTTCCTGAGGGGCCCACCTGGCATCAGCTTGGGAAGAGGCTGCATTTACCAAAGAAGGAAGCCACAGTCCCTTTTTGGTGGGGTGTGTGTGTCAGGGTGCTTATTGTTGGAAACCCTGGAAGCCAAGACCCAAGTCTGAGGCAAGTACTCTTTGGTGAGAGAAACGCAGCAAAACACGAAGCAAATAAAAACGTGGAAATAAAGGCTGCGAGCCTTTTAAAATGTGGCTTTTTCACTGAACTCCAAAGTATCCCACTTCCCTAGCACACAGGTAGATGGTACATTTGGTAAGTTATACGTAAAATGGGTTACTTACAAACCTCGTTAAAGGTTAGATTCATGTGTTTTTCCATAAAGCAGTCCAAAACAATACACAGGCAATTCAACGTTGCTTGGTTACAAAATGGTAAAACCCCAGCTTCAGACTCCTTTCTTATCTGAAAAATAAACTGGCTAATGCCATGCGGCTGAGCAACCAGCTCAGGCCTCCTCACACTGACTTCACAATGTAGACTGAGTACGACCAAAGACTTGGTTGCCCATTTCCTTTCAAAGTGAGGGGAAGTGACATAGGCTGAGCCAGGCTCGACAGCTTACTCTATGGTATTAACCTACTCGTGCATTAAGGCAGGCATCCCCAAACTTGGCCCTCCAGATGTTTTGGGACTACAGCTCCCATCATCCCTAGCTAACAGGACCAATGGTCAGGGATGATGGGAATTGTAGTCCCCAAACATCTGAAGAGCCAAGTTTGGAGGTGCCTGCATTAAGGAGACTCAAGCATGTTGTTTATGTGAGGCTAATTGTTCCACAATTCCCTCACACTAGTGTGTTTAGTGTGTGTGTGTGTGTGTGTGTGTGTGTGCGCTGAAGAAACTGAAATTGACCAATTCTATGAAGACTTACAACACCTTATAGAAGTGACACCAAAGAAGGATGTTCTTCTCATTATAGGGGATTGGAATGCTAAAGTAGGGAGTCAAGAGATAAAAGGAACAACTGGCAAGTTTGGCCTTGGAGATCCAAACGAAGCAGGGCAAAGGCTAATAGAGTTCTGTCAAGAGAACAAGCTGGTCATCACAAACACGCTTTTCCAACAACACAAGAGACGACTCTACACATGGACATCACCAGATGGGCAAACAACAAGTGTGTTTAGTGTGAATGTGCAATATGACCTTCTGAATTGCCACATCTAAGCTCTGCAACTACCTTCTCAGGCCCATCAAGGCTCTTTACAAGTGACCTCCTGCTGAATGGCCAAAATCATCTGGATCCAGCACGCTTTTGCCCTGCCAGCCTGATTGATCATCCATATCATGAGACGAGAGAACAATCTTTTATTCATAGGTGTTTTGGATTTAAGCACCGAATCAATCCATAAATACATCTCAAAGCCTAGAGGAAGCTACTGGTTTTAGCATTTAAATGTATGAATAATACACAAAGGGTTAGGATGTAGATTACATAAAACTGTTAATTAAAATGAAGAAAAATAACTAGGGCATTTCATTGCTCGTTTGCAAGGATTGTGCAATAGGAAGCGATGAAACAGTAGCTGTTGAGCAGCATCTGCTGGTGAATGCTATGCATAGTTAGTTTAACAACATGAGTTTGGACATCAGGAGCCTACCAAAAGAAATTATAGCAAATTCCCTATCCACTTTGAATTTTTGTATTACTAGATATGGAACATGGAAATGCTAGATTAACTGAGACTGGTGTACTGAAGGCATTAATGTGTCTCACTAATATTTGCAGGGCAAAGAAATGAAATGTAGCAGAAGAAACAGGATGTGCCCAGGAACAATGCAGTTGGGAGTGACCACTAACAAAAAACAACTGACCAGGAAATATAGTTAATTCCCGCTTTGTTAATATACAAGCTGCCTAACTTCTCTTTATTCCTATTTTCCACTACTGTATTAAGGAGCTTATGAGTTTTGCCTAAAGGTGGATCTGGTTAGCAGCTGAATTTTTACTTTCAAATACAGGGCATCAACCATTATATGTTGCTTCTTCCTAGAAGGCTTGGGTACAACCTGCCTATCACATAACATCATTATTTGAATGTCTCTTACCTTCTTGCTGTTTCCATCTTAGGTCTCCTAAATGATGAAGATTCTGTGGCTTCAACTCAGCAAACTTTCTTCCTCTCCTCCCTCGCTTGCTCTGTTCACCATTTACCCAGATGAAGAGCCCTGGGGAACTCAAAAGCTTGCACTAAACACAGGTGCAGACCTCAAAGATCAGGACCTAATTAACCACTTAATTGATGGCAGCTGGGTTGACTCTGGTCAAACATTGGAAAGATTTGTGTTTATTGGTATCACAAGGTGTGGTGTATAGCATTCATGGAGAAACTGACTCAGAAACTGAGAGTTTTCCTTGCCTTTTCAAAAACAGATATTTAATTCAACATAGTAGTCCTATATTGCTTACGTTAACAGTTAAAATAACAGCACCTACCTTAACACTACGAGCATATTTGGAATGCTTAATTCTGTCAATGTTATCATCTTTTACTTTCCCTTTACAGGATCTGCTTCGTTGTACTTTCATATATTTGGTTGCTTCCAGGATTCTTTCTTTATCTTGCCTCCCATCTCCTCCCCCCACCCCCACCCCCGCTTTACATTATGGGCTTGGTATGGTGTCTAATTCATCACGTTTACTTCACTTGTCTTACGTATATGGATTGCTGGTTAGGCAGGTTTAGGATGGGGGTTGTGTTTTCTCAACCATTAATAAGGTTCCCTTTTTCCACTTACAAATTACAGTTGTATTTGATTTGCAATTACACACACACACACACACACACACACACATTTAACAATGAATATATACAAAAAAGGAGAGTTGCACACTATTCTGTGATATTTTGGTTGTCCTACCAAGGGTATTGCCCTGATAAGAATTTTGATTTTTTAAAAAATGTCTTTGCTTTTTATATAACAAAGCTTATAGGCCAGTTCCCTTCCCGCCAGCCTATTGCTGCACTTTCATCTACAAATATTGTGATCTCTTTTTAAAAAAAAAATCACTACAGTAAAAGCGTCTTAAAAGTATAACCATGAAAAGGCAGTTGACTTGAAACTGACAGCTCTGCGCTCTCTTTTCTTCTTCTTCAAATATTTCTGAAATTGGGAAGAGTAAGGCCTGACCAGGGAATTTTCATTCAGCTAAAAATAGCTGAACTGAAATTACTGCCCACTTCCCAATTATTATTTTTCCTGGATTCCTTAAGCGCCACACATCAAAAAGAAAAGTAAGCACATCATAGGTGTGTATTACCCTCAACCAAACACTTTTGTTCATTTTGTTCCAACTGTATTGTAAGTTCAGGTCTCCCTTTACTATGAAGTCTAATGGAAGACTCTGGGAGTATTTTACTAACCAAAGTCTCAGTGACATGGTGCAGGACATAAAAATGTGTTTCTGAAATGTCAGCCTGAGTGATAGCTCTCTCTGCCATTTGCCTTAAGTTATCACACTCTTCCTCATCTATAACCAGCCATCGCGTATCAAAAACCTGCTTTGACAAAACAACTTGTGCTACTCCCAGTTACAGGGTTAAGGTAAAGGGACCCCTGACCATTAGGTCCAGTTGTGACTGATTCTGGGGTTGCGGCGCTCATCTCGCTTTATTGACCGAGGGAGCCAGCGTACAGCTTCCGGGTCATGTGGCCAGCATGACTAAGCTACTTCTGGCGAACCAGAGCAGCGCACGGAAACGCCGTTTACCTTCCCGCCAGAGCAGTACCTATTTATCTACTTGCACTTTGACGTGCTTTCGAACTGCTAGGTTGGCAGGAGCAGGGGCCGAGCAACGGGAGCTCACCCCGTCGCAGGGATTCAAACCGCCAACCTTCTGATCGGCAAGTCCTAGGCTCTGTGGTTTAACCCACAGCGCCACCCGCATCCCCATTTCAGCAATTTAGCAAGGAAGGTCATTAAGAACTCTTGGCATTGCTTTAAAGATACGTACCACTCACCATTTGAACTTTCTCAAGGCAGTTTTTAAAGGGCACATTCATATTTAGAATGTCACTCTGCAGATTTATGGATTGTCTGCAGAGATCTGTTTGCAAGGAACTCCTGGGCCTAACCTTGTACAAGGGGGCTTGCCCTAGTCCAGTGCGGTTTTGACTTTTCTTGGAACACCAGATTCCCTTCTCAATACTTCTCAATATCTATTTTCAAGTAAAGCATATGTTTGCATGAATACTGTCATTGCAAAGCAATCATGGCCCATTTTAATTTAAGCTTATCACAGAGCTAGAATGTGCATTTACTGTATTAAAAAAACATTTCCAGAAAAGAAAATGTTTTCTGAAACAGGTTTACATATTTTATTCAGTTCAACAAATGTTTCAAATGGGGATATTCATTGATATGCAGTTAACACATTCAAGAAGCACCAGTTCTTTAAAACAGATGTAATATATAATCATTTCTATGCTAAGAGTATTCATAACACACAAAAAAATTTTTTGTGGCATAGTGATCTTAGGTACAGCACTTAAAGTGAGTACAGCTTGGCCACAGGTATATACTTTAAATGCACATCAATAGCTTAAAAGAACTGTCATTTTATATATTTTAATACAACAACCTACAGTACATTATGTGATACTAATTATACATTTTAATATACTTTTCCCTTTGTTAAACAGGAGTCAGTTTTCAAGTTAACATGCATTAAAAGGGGGGAAGGTGACCCAAGTATTTTCATAGAGAACTGTGAAGAATTTATTCTTGTATTTATTCTTCTTTCACATAAAGCCAACACTGAAACAGAAGGAGTTATATTAGGGACACCTGTTCTCCACAGAAAGCAAAGACTATTCATAAAGTATTAGAGCTTTTGTCTTCCATGTATTTATATTTATTTTGATGAATACCAAATAGAGAGAACTTGAACTGACTCAAAGGTAGAGAAATATCACCCTGGTACAGACTTTCTTTGACTGAATCACTTCAGACTACAATGAAGGTTCCTTGGTTTAACGGTCCTTTCATCCAAAACTCAATGGCACATGAAGGCTTACAGCTTAGCCTTCTCCCTGATGTGATAGCAACAAATGACTAAAACAGGTACACAGGCTTCTGAAGTATTAAAAGTAGTTGCTAAGTCGTATTTATTTAATATGTGGCTATTCTTCCTACCTTTCTTTCACTGGTGGTGGACATGGGTTTCCCTGACAGATTCCAATCCAGTCACTGATCAAACTCAAACCTGCTTAGTTTCAGCAAAGTGTTTGCATCATATCCCTTCGGAATGTGCCCTGATAACTGAATATTTAGTAATTTCCATGAATGTATTTCAAGGCTGAATTAAATCAGGGGTAGGCAACCTAAGGCCCGGGGTTCTCAATCCAGCCCGCGGATGGTCCGGGAATCAGCGTGTTTTTACGTGAGTAGAATGTGTCCTTTTACTTAAAATGCATCTCTGGGTTATTTGTGGGGCATAGAAATTCGTTCATTTTTTCCCCCTTCAAAATATAGTCCGGCCCACCACATGGTCTGAGGGACGGTGAACTGGCCCACAGCTGAAAAAGGTGGCTGACCCCTGAATTAAATTCACAGGTGAGAGTAAATGCAGTGTGAATTGGTGTCTGTCCATTCTGTGGAGTTTCTCTTTCTGTCCCCTGCAGCCCAAAATCTGCTCTGTTTAGTGCAGCTTAAAAGAAACGTCCTTTTATATACACTATTCTCAGCAGGGGGACCACCCCTCTGAGAAAAAAAAAATAGGGGCGTGCAAGGAATTGGAGGTAGGGGAAAAGAAAGTCACATGGTGCAATCAGATTTCTGCTGTGCAAGTTTGTGGAAATTGTTCTATGTTGCCCAACAGTCACTACTGAGACGATGGTATTTCTGATCATTTAATGACCTTGCCATCATTTAAAGGCAGATTTCTAGCATTAAAATGAATTGCTTAGCATAGTTATTCCTTAGAGTAGTTGGAATTTGGAGCAGAACAGTTAGCGCAGCAAGAACCCCCTTCTCCACAATATTTGATTGAGGTTGTTTATAATTCTGTAATAACTTTTGTCATCGCCACAAAGACTTTTGTGAATTTCAGAATATTACTAGGAATGAAAAAAAACACACATTTTGGTCATATGGATCTGTTTTCTATGATTTTTAAACGTAACATACCTTAACCATATAACGTTTTCAAACTGCTTCCAAATTCTATTCATGGTGCTCCCTGTGGGCTCGTTCCCTTTCTAATCTCTCTTTCTCTCTCTCCTCCTGTATATTCACAAATTCCTGATCTCTGACATCAAAGCACAGGAGCTCAAGCCGAAAACCTTGATCCCTTAGGACAAATATTAAAAAGAAGAGTTCTCGTAAAAGTGTCTGATAGTATCAGTAAGACAGTTTTGAACAAGTTAATACAAAATGGTTTCCCCCCCATATTTGGTACCTGATTAATTTATACTGCTTAAAATATTTATCTGAACCGGACAGTGTACCCTGTCCTAAAATCCAAATCCTAAAATTTTATGGATTGATTACTTACTTTTTCCGATCCTTATCTTTTTTATACCCAACAGTGGGCGTAGGGGGCAGTGGCCTCCCTTGGATTATTTCTGCGGCAGCTTTTCTGTCATTGAATGCAATAATTTCTTCTTCAAGGAGTCTTCTTTTCTCCTCCAATTTCATTCTCTCTTCTTGATCAATCCGTTTTAAATGTTCGAACTCCAGCTGTAGCTAAAGTCAAGCACAAAAATATCACTTCTGCCACAAGGTGGTAGCCTAGCACTTAACATACCATCTTCAGTAATCACAAGGTCAAATACAGAGACTGATTTCCTTAACAAGTGTCAGAGTTTTCACTTAACTATTTTTGTAGTTCACTTATTGACACAAGTGCACTAAAACCTTTTCTTAGAGTAACTTGGAACTGATTTCTTTTTAATGACAAATGTGGACATCAGTTTTATTCATAAAAGTTTTTCAAGGGGGGGTATCATTCTTTCAGAGCATCGCATAGTTAACTTCCCAATTCTTGCTAAATGAAGAACAGATCAAACATTTCCCAATTGAACAACATGGCCTACTGCCTTGATCAGCCCATCTTTCAATATGTATATGATACTATGAGTTATACTGTAAGCTTCTGGTCAACAATTTACTTTTAAATCAAAGGAGACTGATTTCAGTAAATTATGTTAGATCAACTTGTGATGTCATTAAGCATAGGAGCCAACTCCTAGGAGCCTAAGTCCCTTTGACCCCCTCTCCACCCTAAAATATTTGAGAGAGCTGCCACACACACACACACACACACACACACACACACCAGTTGATTGGCACTGCCATTCAAATAGTGTGTGTGTCCTAGGATCTATTATGCAGGGCAGGGTTTACCTGGGATACCTGAATATTTTATTCAAGTTGGCACCCCTATCATTATGCAATTATGAAAGGCTGTTTCTATTGTTTCCTGGAACTCTGATCTAAATCAACAGCAAGTTGCCACATGAACTTGATGATCCCTGTGTGCTGAACAGCTGGACAGGAAAATGGAGTCCCCCGCAGATAAGATGCCTATTTCACCATCTAATATCGCTGCACACCACCCCAATGTCTGAGCAGTGCGCAGGGGCGCCAACGATAGGGGTGGACGGAGATTCAGCTCCCTCAGTATTTCTGGGCAGGGGGCTGAGTCCCCTCCCCAATATTCTTCCCCCACCATCCCCTCCACCCCCCCTCTCCTGTACAGGGCTGTACAGCTCCTTTGCGCCAAGCTGTAGCTCTGCTTCTGGGTCCACTGGCAGAGGAAGGGGGTGCAGTGGGTGCTGTCTGCCCCGGGTGTCATCCCTGAGGGGCCACTCGTGGTGCCCCCCTGGGACGCTTGCCCTGCCCCCATGGGTGGCTAGCCCCGCCTCTGGGTGCACAGCCTGTGTGCCGCTAACTCCGCCTCTGCCTGGGTCAGGTCTGACCTGGGAGGCGGAGAGAAGCAGAAGGGTTGCGGCAGCATTGCTGCTTCTCTCCTCAGCTGGGCAGCACTGCACAATGATTCTTGTACCCAGCGAGGCCAGCGTAGAGAATGATTTTCACCCTTAGCATTCTCCATGCAGACGGGCAAGCACTGGCCTACTGGGTGGGGGTAGAAGGCACGGAGGGTGATTTTCACTCTCTGCATTCCCTGCTGCCATTGGGCAAGCGCTGGCCCACCAGGGTGGAGAGAGGTGCAGAGGGTGATTTTCACCCTCCTCACTGGCCACCGCCAAGAGGCGAGCACTGGCATGCCAGGTAGAGGCAGGACGGGTCACGTGACACCGAGCCCCCTCAATGTGGGGTTAAGTCACCACCCCTGTCAGTGTTACGTTCTAGGCCAGGAGTCAGCAAAATTTTTCAGCAGGGGGCCAGCCCACTGTCCCTCAGACCTTGTGGGGGGCCTGAGCATATATTTGGGGGGGGGAATGAACAAATTCCTATGCTCCACAAATAACCCAGAAATGCATTTTAAATAAAAGCACACATTCTACTCATGTAAAAACATGCTGATTCTGGGACTGTCCATGGGCCGGATTTAGAAGGTGATTGGGCCGGATCCAGCCCCTGGGCCTTAGTTTGCCTACCCATGTTCTAGGCCAGCAGTTCTCAACCTGTGGGTCCCCAGATGTTGTTGGACTACAACTCCCATCATCCCTGAGCTCTGGCCTTGCTAGCTAGGGGTTATGGGAGTTGTAGTTCAACAACATCTGGGGACCCACAGGTTGAGAAAGGCTGCTCTAGGCGTTCCAAGGCTCTGTTTCCTCAGAATGAGGGACAGCCAAGACTGTGATATATTTATGATATATGGTTTATTTACACATAAATATAACCTGGGGAGCTCACAGCATTAGTACCCCAAAAGGGTTTTGCTCCTTCCATAGCCACAGCCTTGGATTCCAGCAGAAAGCAGACATGGCTCTATCTCTCTGGCTTCCATCTGCCTCTGGCTTGCACTTCACACACATCTCTCGTCTTTCTAAGTATGGCAGTTATCTCATTTGTATTATGCAACATGGGGCATTCCCATTTTCAACCGTAGCAAATGGGAGCAGAAAAAGAAATGGATGGACCCAGCACAGCAACAGTGCAGTAGAGACCATCCTAACCACAATAAATCACTTCAACAACCAAATCAGAATCTGTTAACCTTCTCCCTAATGCTGAACGTGCCTAGCCAATCAGCTCCAGCTGTGTGAACAAGGAAGAGGAGGAAGGGCTCTGCCACTCATTGTGAGACACTGGGAAGGGAAGAAGAGGGAAGTACCATGTGCATGTGGACACACACAAACAAACCAGGGGAGGAGACATATTTGGGACACAGCTGAATATTTAGTTGCAAGTCTCTCTGGTCCTGACTCGTGATGGAATTCCAGCCATGATCAGGATCCAAAGAATCATTCTCTCCAGTGCATTCTTTGCTAGACTCTAGCCATCTTATTCTGCTGCTCCACATAATGTCTTCAAGCTACCACTACAACCAGATCAAGAACTATAAGAGAGATGGGCTTACTTCTCGCTCAGCTTCTTTCAACTGTACTTCTTTCTCTTTGACCCTCCGAACAAACCTTTGCCTCATCTCTTCTTCTTTTTGCTGTAATCCGTTAAGGAATTCAATCCGCTTAGCTTCATAAGTCTCCTGCAGACTGAGGACCATAAAATGTAAAACAGCCTTCATTCAGAGCTGGCCGCATTCACCCATTTTATTTACAAAACCCAACCACATTTGATCAGCTTTCCTGTACACAAGAGACTGTGAAAGTTCACAGGGAGATTAAAAGTACAAGGAGATGTTTTGCTCAAGAAGGTGTGCACTGGAGTTACATCTGGTTTATCTTACAAACCTCGCAATTAAGGGGCTGGGTGAGAACAGTTGCAGTCTGCTGTCTCACCATACTCACAGTGTTTCCTTTTGTTAAATTTATAAACTGGTTCTAAAAGCTGTTAGGAAAGGACAAGCAGTGATGCTATGAATAGAATGCAGGGCAACAAATTAATCATGGTGAAGTGGACAAAGCATAGGTACCCCAGGCTTTTATTTTTGATCCTAAATGCATCTAACTTGGGAGTATACCTGATCAATTGAAATAGAACTTAATTTGAGAAAAATTTGGTCACTTCCAGATGACTTGTTTAATGAACATTCAGCCTGATTTGCTTATGAAGCTATTAGACAACATAGTCATAGGGTATTTAACGTGCATTTATTCTGATTTGTGAGATTAGACAACATTAAGTCAAGAAAGTGTTATTCCACACTTTCCTGTTCAGCAGAAAAAATTCAGTTCTTTTATCACTGTGCATTTGCAGACCACCAAAAAGATCTATCTACATCAACTAATATACCCACTGGAATTATTGCCACATTTAAAATCTGTAATGATTATGTTTGACAGCAAAAGAAGATGTCATTTTCTCATTGTTTGCCTGGCTTTCTCATTCTTCTCCTCTTTACATGCCAGTCTAGAATATCTTCTATCAGTTTTTTAAGCTTCCTCTCAGAATGCTGGATGTGTCCTTCCTTTTTGGCACACTGACAACTGGATATTCTCTCTACAAAGTCACTTTCCAGTAAACAGACTACTCTGAACCAGACAAAGAGTAAAACTTGCTGATCTTAAAGTTGAAAGCTGATTCCAATCTCACTGTAATACATACAATGTCAACAGCCAGAGGTCTTCCAAATATCTCACTCTTGGCATCTGTTAAGGAGTAAAGGTGCCTTTCGCTTAGAAAGCATTCTAATTCTTTTTAAAGGAACCCAGGTGTTAAGATGTCATTGTTGTAACTTTTTACACCAAGGGCAGGAGACCTGCCACCCTCCAGATGTTGTTGGGTATCCAGCTCCCATCAGCCCCAGGCAACATCTGGAGGACCACAGATTTTCCACCCCGTTTTCCACCCTAACTAGGTTCGGCATTAGGTGGTATCATCTTATTGCACCAAGTCTAACTGCTGCATGTGCACCACCATGCTTCTTCCCTGCTTTTAAACTGGGATAACAAAACCAGTTACAGCTTCTTCAAGTTCAGTATCTACTTGGATGTAAGCAGATGAAGCTAGCCCTTTGCAAATCTGTACCCATTCCTTTTTAGCCAGGCATTTAACTTTTCCTAGAGAAGCAAATTTGGGAGGAACAGCTGGCTCATCCCATTTCTAGCAACAACTTGCGATGCAAGATGTTTATTGGTTGGCTGCTATGGCAATTATGAGGCTACACCCCTAACCACCAATGAATCCATCCAAGTTAATGTCATGCTTCTGCCATGTGTAGAAGTGTAGCCATGTGCCATGTAGGCTGCAAGAAGTATTGGACAAGTGTGGGGGGGGGAGAGACCAAAGGCCAGTGCTGGATTCAGAGCGGCGTAGATGTGCATTAGATGAGTGGAGGTAGAGCCAAATGTGAGTTCATCTCACAGCAGGGGAAGAAAACAATTTACCAGCTCACATTGGAAGGTAAGTCTTCAACTCCTTACTGTTCAACAGGGAGAAGAACAGTAGCATCTTTTCATAAAGGTTATGTCAAAGATGAGATTGTGTCCCCTTTTCTATTCTCATCTTACCAACACTGTTAAGGCAAGTTAATTGTCAAGTTCCCTGTTTTTACAGAACTATTATTTATTCTAGTCACAGATCATGTTCTGTTGCAGAAGTTAAATGTTAGTACTGCAGCGACTACTGTAAATAAAGTCTGTTTTGAGGCCAGCACACATCTTGCATATCTGTTTAGAACATCAATGAGAAAGAAAGAAAGAAAGAAAGAAAGAAAGAAAGAAAGAAAGAAAGAAAGAAAGAAATTTAATTGGTATTTAAGAACATAGGAAACTCCTTATACCAAGTTAGGCTATTTGTCCACATGATCTAGATATTGTCTAATCCGACAGGAAGTGCCTCTCTCCGGGGTCTATGGTCCCCTACCCATATTTGTAAGATGAAGAATTAGTACACAGCTGGAGACATTCTGAGTTGCACTTGAGGGAATTCAATAATAGTTCCAAATCAGTACTGGGATCATGTCACTATTGGTTCCTGTAAGACCAAGCTGTCTCTTTCTAAAACACACACATACAGAGAGAGTATTTAAAAAACTTTAATTCCATCATTCTACGCTATAAGGCAACATACCTTTCTCTATGAGTTGTCTTTTTGGAATCTGGAATCCTAAAAACAAAACAAAGATACAGATTTATCAAGTTGCAGCGTGCTTCCACAGTTCTGTCTAAGGAACCCAATTTTATGTTATCCTGGCTCACAGAAAGAAACTGATACCATTCCAAGTTTCTAAAAGTTAAAGGAATTTGCTTTTTTTCTTACGGAAATATAACACTGAAATAATTATGTACTTAATTTTAAAAACGATGGGTGGTATTTAACTAAGACTTACTCAGGGTACATTTCAATCGTTAGTCCTGTTCATTAATTTTAATGGGTCTTATGCTGAGTAAGTCTTAATTGAATACCACCTAAGATTTGTATTTAGCACTTACAAACAACTATGTATGTGGAGTACACTTATCAAGCTTTCAGAAGCCTTGTACTCATATAACACAAAGCCAAAACATGGCTTAGACTTAAGTCAGAAAGAACAAGCACGTGGGGACCCAAAAGGAAAATTGCAGCTACTTCGCTCCTCCCCCAATCATATTGTTGCCATGCTACTTGGAGCTAAGCTATGGGGTCAGATTCAACAAAGGGGCCCCACTAGCGGAAGTCTGTGCAATAGCACATTTTCCTCTCCCTCCTTCCTGGCTAGGGGGTGTGCAAACAGTTTTAATTACACACTTAAGATTCAAGATATCTTCAGAGAAGTAATTACAAAAGCCATGTTGGGAACTGGTTTAACTATTAAAAACATAGGAAAGGCTTGCTCTCTTACCTGATTTGATCAGTGTCTCGGAAGCCCATCTCTTCCAGTTTATACTGCCGGTACAGTTCATAATGAACAGAACAAGTTTGTTCTATCAAGTCTTCCATATTTGTACAAATCATCATTTCCCGGAGCTTCACGAAATCGCAGTGGTTCTCATTCTCCACTAATGAAATAAAATAAGATATCACCTCTATCCTATTGGAATTTACCATGGGATGCAGGAAACACCCCCCAAAAGCCCTTTCACACTGGGATTGCGGGACAAGAGGTTGCAGGGGAGTTACTGAGCAGAGGCAGTCTTTCCTATTCATCTCATACATTTTGCAAGGGTCTCCTGAACCACAAGGAGAGGCTTGGGTAGCAGTTGCAAAGATGGGATCAGGAAATTCCCCTTCCAAATGCATCTGCCAGCTCAGAGGCACATGGGAGGTACTGGAAGGCAGAAGAGGTACCACCCCCTCCCCAATTCCTCACCATCCAGGCCAGATTATATGCCCTCACTGGACTTCTCCAGCTCAGACAACACCCCTCCAATTCAACCCTCAACACTTCCACACCATAAACGCCATTATTTGCAGAATGGTCCTTTAAAAGAAAGATCAGTTACTCAGAGTGGATAAGAGGGTTCAGGCCAGCCTTTATAAAGTCTCAGAAGGCTTCAGCATAATTCTGAGGCAGCAGCTCTCCTTAAACTAATCCTAGCAAGCTCCAGCTGCTGTGGGCAATCCAGACTGCTGACAAGATGCCTTTTTGCTTTGTGGCTGGTAAGCGTGCGTCCCATAATTTCCTGTGCCTTTTTAGATCACAAATGTTCTGTGTGCTGTTTCACTTTTGTTGCTGTACAGTGCAAGAGTGCCCCTCCAGATGGCAACAATACAATAATATTGGGGAAGTATCACTGTGCAACTAATAAAGCAGACTGGTTGATACATGGACTGTCTAAATCCATCACTAATGCAATATTACTGTGTTGATGACCTGTTGCAGAATGCGCCTGTGAAAAAGGAACAGTCCTGGGAAAGTAGACTCATGGTACTGCTACAGATCACCAGTTTAAATCACAAAGCCTGGTTCACAAATCTGACAAAAAGATGTTGTGATCATTCACTAGGCTTCAAAAAGAAGAAAGCAGTTTATAAAGATACTGCAAAATGTGAACTTTATCAGTTGAGAAGCAGACAATTAACCATGCAAAGTTACTATCACTGCTGACTATCTTAGGAAACTAATTCTGGAAAAAGTGAGAGTTCAAACTCTTCTTCACCTTCCACTACGCCCCAAGGATACTGGCGAGCTTTTACTGTTTTGTCTCCAACTTTTACCTCTTCCAAACTCCCCACTACTGCAAATGGCAAGTGTGCCTGCAAAACAGAGAGTAAATAAATTTGTACTGCTGTCAACACTAAGAATAAATAAATGAAAAATGCAATATATGCAACATGTAGCCTAATTACATGAAAGACCATCACACCTGTCAAAAATAAGGTGAAATCCCATTAAAATACTTACATTCTAATACTTGTAGTGAAGTACTTACATTCATGTTAGCATTAATGTTAGCAATGCTCTCATCATCTGTTGGGAACTGATATATCTGGAGTCTACTACTGACCAGTTCACTCATGATGTTGACCTTAAACTGCTGTAGTTCGGTTTTAGAAATTGTATCAGCTTTGGCTATAAGGGGAATAATGTTCACCTATTAAAGAAATAAGAAGTATTGTATTCATAAAAGCCAAATCTGCAAGTAATCTGAACTTTTTAAACACAAATTAC